GGGTGTTCACTATGTGCGTGTACCCTGTGTGCATGTTTCCCTGTGTACGAGTTTCACTATGTGGGTGTTCACTATGTGCGTGTACCCTGTGTGCATGTTTCCCTGTGTACGAGTTTCACTCTGTGGGTGTTCACTATGTGCGTGTACCCTGTGTGCATGTTTCACTATGTGGGTGTTCACTATGTGCGTGTACCCTGTGTGCATGTTTCCCTGTGTATATTCCCTATGTCCATACTAGACTATATCTTGTTTGTTTATTTGTTTGTTTGTTTGTTTGTACAGAGGCACCAGAAGGAGCTGCAGTCAGCGCTCAACAAGGTTTTCCTGGGGGACAACAAAGTCAGCGTACAGGAACTGTTGGACGCTTCCTCCCTGGTCAGTAGCGGGTGTCCTCGTCAATAACCAGGATGCCGTTTTTCTTTTATTTCCGGTGGGGGGGGTTCTGTTATTTTGGACATTGTCCGTTCTTAAATGCGTGGTGTTTCTGTTAGGATCTTTGTAGTATTGTTGAACTGATATGATGTTGTTTTGTATCATTTATTGCTTCGTCACATGCTAATTCTACTATTCTTACAATTCTACAGTTGCGAGCGCCGTAGAACCTTATTAAAACTAAAAACTAAATGATGTTGTGTGATGATAATGATGTTCTGTGAACAACAAGACTTGCATTGATGACACTGACTGTGTTTTTGCTCCCCAGAAGAGACGTAAGCCGGTGCATGACAACAACTCGACGGTGTCCTCCCAGCTGAAGGTGGTCCTGCGCCGGAGAACGGCCGTCTTCACCAAAGGTGGCCGGGCCAGGAGATTTTTTGGTAAGATTTTCCCGCACTGAGATAAGATCAGATCTGATCAATTTTATTGGTCTACGAGGGAAATCTTGGGGGGGGGGGATGTACCAGAACAGCAACGATCAAAGATTCTGGGTCCACACAGAAGTGCACTTATTTCATCCATCTTCAATGATACATCTATACTGCCGTGCCGAGGCAGAGCCACGTATCTGCACTTTTTATGATTTTGAGTTCTGTCGCACTGCATGTGGGCGTGGCCCTTTTGTTACGCCTGTTTGCCATAGTGAAATATCCTATTTGTAGTGCAGATACGTCTTCCTGCCTTTGACACAAGATGCAGAATGGGTATATACGTCCATTTAAACGAAGATGCAAAAATTATTATACCTCGGTCTGCCTCGGCACGGCAGTATACAACAATGCACAGCTCATTCACACGGGTGTACCCAAACAAACAAACTAACAGTGAGAGTAATGAGAAGGAGAGTGAGTAGTGGAAGAGACCTTTATCCGAGGGGTTCATAAACAGATTGAAAATTACCTAAAAGATACCTAAAAATAATTGGGGGGGGGAGGGGGGGCATTTGTAGAAGGAAAAAGATCAAGGATGGAGATGCCAACAAGAACCATTTTTGTCTTTTTGAGTCTGTTGACAAAGCCAAAAGAACTTCAAAGGTGTATGTCCCTTATCTCACTCAATCCCTTTACCGAGATATTTCGGTCAGCTCGCAGGCTGCGTTCAATCCCTCGACTGAGATAACTCGGTTCTATAGTTTTGTTCCATATACTAGTTATTTCATTCCGGAAAACGTCCTCAAGTTTTATATAACGCCAATTTGTTATTTCCCCGGCCAATTCTGCCTAGAGGAGTGCTGGAATTTTGTTCCTACTGTCATTACACATGGAGAAATCACAGTTTTTATAAAGTCACTTTCAGCACGATTGTTCACACTTATCAGCTGAGCATGTCTCACTACCGATTCTCTCTGCCTTTCTCACACATACTTTTTTTTAAATTCGTGAAAGTACTCAACCGTCTTTATTATATATGACATACAATATATTTATAGATCTAGACACTCTCAAGCATATTTGAATATCAATGTAAGCTTGCTCTTGCTCATTCGCCATGAAAGAAAATTATAAGCTCTGAAAAAAGCCAAATTTGTTCAACACCCCAAAGCAAAACTACTACCTAAGCTACATACTTCATATTTGCTATGTCTAAAGATCCATCTTAAGTTGTACTGTGTGCCTAATTTCAAAGCAGTTGAATGATATTTATGGTTACTAGTGGGCCCATATATAAGTGCCAAAATGACCGGTTTCTAGGTACAATTTCAGGAAAAACTCACGGGATTGAGTGAGTTAAAAGCATCTTTGAATCCATTGACAGAAAGGAATTAAAACAATATATTTTTCGGGCCTTCAGTTCAACAACAACGAACCGGCGTCTGTGGTATAGCAGGTAGGCACTTCACCGTCACGTGCAGGAGACCCAGGTTTGAACACGGAGTGAGGAGATTTTTATTGATTATCTGTGTTTTTTTCTCCTGGGAGGTTGTATCCCTCTCAGCCTGGGTGAGCCCTGAGAGTCAGGGTCGGGATCCCACCTCCTAAATGGTCTAAACTGTGTTGGTGGGGGTATGATAGGGATGTAAAAAACACTGACTTTTAACAAAAGAAAGACATCAACGACCCAGTTTTGTTTTGTTTTGTTTTTTCCTCAGACAAGGAGACTCGGTCCCCGGAGGTGATTGAAGAAGAGGTGGCCCAGCTTGAGCACTCGGTGCCAGCCATGTTGATCAAGGTAAAAAAAAACACTTGTCGGCTATTCCACGGTAACTGACGGGACAGAAAAAATGCCTCATTACTCATTTGTCCCATCCGTTACAGAAACTAAGCACGCAACAGACTTTGCATAAAGTGCTTTTTTTTTCCAAATGACTGCATTTAATACGATTCTTCTTAATATGTCTTTCAAATGTTCTGATCATTTAAAGTTGAAATAAATTAATTGATTATGAATTGCAGTGTAAGAAAATATAGTCCAAATGTGAGGCATCGCGGTGAAATCAGGCACTTGTCAAAATAATCAAATCCAAGAAATTGGCACTTTTTTAGCCAATGGGCAATTTTTTTATAAATTTTCTTTTTTTTTTAGCTCGACACTTTTTAGGTCCATTTAAAAACACATTTCTGTGTGAATTTTACTGAAAAACCTTGATTTAAAGGCATAAAATATGTCATTGTTCAGTCTTCAAAGACTCTTTAGCTATCAGAGTTACATTACCAAACTTTGGCGGCCATTTTCTTGCTAATTTCACCCCTGAAACCAGGCAACCTGGCTTCCTTCAATCGCAAATATCTGGAGTTTAATTCTAGATAAATTGGATATAGCAAGGCAGATAAATCAGCATTCAGATGCTTGTAACCCCTCTTTGGGTGAAGAAAAGCACATAGACACGATGAGAGCAAAGAAAGAGCTAGAAAGACAGATATTTTAGTTTTAGTAAGTTTTACAGCACTTATAACACGGTTAGGTCATGTAAGTGCCGAAGATAAGATATGTTACAAGAGAGTAACAAACATAAAAAAAGAAGGAGGAGAGATAAAGACGATGGATGTTTGATAGGAAAGAAGAAGCAAACCACACCAGAGCACTCAACTTTGGTGAAGAAAAGCACACCGACACAAAAACTGTCATATGCTGCAGGGAAGAGCAAGACAGACAGACAAACATGAACAGAGGGGGGAAGAAAAGAAGTAGAACCAACCACTTGCACCCTCCAACCACCCGCAAATACATTCGAAACTAAAAGAGGGCCATTCATTCTCGAGGGAAAAAGTGGGTTGTTACTAGTGAGTGCTCTGGTGTGGTTTTCTCCTTTCCAGTCAAACATCTATTGTCCTCATCTCTCCTTCTTTTATTTGAATGTTCTCTCAAAAAACACTATTAGCACTTTTTATCTTTGGCATTTATTTGACCTAATTGTTTTACTGGTGCCGTAAAGCTTTTACTAAAAGTTATCTTGCTCTTTCCCTGCACCAAGTGGCAGTTATTGTGTCGATGTGCTTTTCTTCACTGATAGTGGGTCATTGGTGGGTGCTAGGTGTAGTTTGTTCCTTCTTTCTTGTCAAACATCTATCATCCTTATCTCTCCTTTTTCTTTTTTTTGCATGTTACTCTCTTGTAACACCTCTTATTTCGGCGCATATACAAGATAATTGTGTTTTAAATACTGTAAAACTCTAACTAAAACTAAAAACTCTGTCTGTCAATCTTTTTCCCGACACAAAATGACTGCTATCGTGTCGATATTGCACCGGAAGTAGGTGGTTGGTGGGTGCGCTGTGTAGTTTGCTTCTTTTTTTCCCTGTCAAAGATCTCTCCTCTTTATCTCTCCTCCTTTTCTTCCTATGTTTCAGAGTCTGGGCAGTGATCGAGCCTACTTGCGCGACATGGTACGCTCCCAGCTTTTGACTGCCGAGGAAGATTACGCGTCGTTGTTAAACCCTGAACAGGATCCAGATTACAAACAAAAGCTGCAGGAGTTGAAGAAGTTGGAGGCGAACGTTCAGGCTGGGAAGATGGCGGAAAAGACGAGGACCCAAAAGTTGAGCCTGCTGTCACAGAAGGTCCGACAGTTGAAGCGAGCACTCACGGAATGGTGTACCATAGCCAGGAGGGACTCGGAGACAAAAGTCTGTGCACTCAAGGAGGATGGCGACTATCTGGATTCGCTGTTTGACAACAACGACGACGGCCCAGAAGGGAATGGTGAGAGGCGGCCGGGTTCGGGCGTGTCTGAGGGAGTTGCCAGCGCTGAAGGTCACAGCTCGGGTGTCAAAGGTCATGGTTCGGGTGTCAGTTCCAAGTCTAGCAGTGTGGAGAAGCAGCGTTTTTCACGTGAGGTGGGGATCGGTGAAAAGGCGGCTATTGTTGAAAAGCTGCTTTCGGATGGTGGAAGTGAGACACGAGATCGGTCTGACGTTCTGGGTGCGGATTCAACTTTGGAAAATGTGTCATCGGATCAGATTGCGGACGGTGGCGAGAAATGCTGTTCGGATACTTCTAGCATGGAAACCTCTAGCTTGGATACCTCTAGTACTGATACGTCTAAACCCTCCCCTTCCCAGACACAGGGCAGAGAGACTCGTCATGAAGTTTCTGCGGAAACAGGTCATTTGATCGGCACACAGGACAAAACTACAGAGGAACATGTCGCTGACGGCGGTGAAGCAATTGAGAACAAGGAGCTGTTGGCACCAGAAGTCGCTGCTGGTAAAAGCCAAGCGTCATCGCATGCAGCCGCGCACAGCTCAAGACAATTGGCGGCGGCTGAAGGTTGTGCGGTTGTAACTCCACCGCAGGGACATAGTTCTAAAGATGGAGGACTCTGTCCTAAAGATGGAGGACTCGGTCCTAAAGATGGAGGACTCGGTCCTAAAGATGGAGGACACAGTTCTAAAGATGGAGGACATAGTTCTAAAGACGGAGGACATAGTTCTAAAGATGGAGAACTTGGTCGTAAAGATGGAGGAAACGGTTCTGAAGTGCTGTCTCACAGCAGAAGTCCAATCAGAAAGAGGAAGGGCAAGGAGAAGAAGTTGTTGCCCCCGGCCAAGCGAGTGAGAAGTCAGAGGGAGATAGACGCTGACCGCCAGAGTCTGGTCAGGAGGGAGAAGAAGATAGTGAGCTGTCTGCCCAACTTACCACCGTGCAGCGCTACAATGAGGGCCCTGAAGACTTTGCTCATGGTGCGACGCTCCCTGGTGCTCAAGGCCGGCCCCCTGTATCGACCACAGGACTACGCTGCTGCCAGGTCGAGGGAGGCTACCGTCCATCTCATCACCGAGTCCCAGGAGAGGGTACCCGGGGAAAATGACGAGGAGAAGATGGACACTAAAGGAAATGTGCGTCGTGATTCGGCAGACATGGAACGGTTGCCGCAATCAACAAACGACGTGGATTTGTGCGAGCAGGCCAAACAGTATAAGGGGTTTGTGAGCCGCTCCATCCTCAACTTTCAGGAAGCGACGAAACCAGAACGAGCCAACGAGAAGCACTTGTCGATTTTGAGTGATTTTGACATCCTGGGAAATGAGCCGATAAAAAAACGACAAAGACATAACTCGGAGCTTGATGAAAATCAACAATTTAATCGCCCTGTGCCGTCTATCTGCTCAACTGATTTGAGTAACGTAGAGGTGATGCCCCCTCAGTCGACCTGCCGCAGTGACTACAAGGTGGTCTTGGGCTACTCGTCGAGAGCTGGCGTAGAGAGAAAAGAGAGAGAGCTTCGCCAGCCAAAGATCATGCACACCAAACCTCAGCGGGTCGTTCAGGAATCCGATACGTCTGGAGAACCGCAGGAGGAAGTGGTCATTGTGGAAGGCACAGGGGCCAGAAACACGTTCCTCAAGCTGGAACCCGAGGCGGAGGATAGATCGTCGGGCAGTGAGGGGAGAGATGGAAATCCACAGAACCAGGAAGTAACTCGGACAGCGACAGAGACGACTTGTGAGGTGGGAACTAACTCACAGCCATGTGAAACGTTCACCGCTGTGGCATCGAGTCAATGGGGGAAAAGTTGTGAGCGGGGCAGGGAGAACTTGGCGGAATTGTGCGGTCCTGCTGGTGACACGGGGGTCGATGCAGCTCGGGTCGTGCAAAGTCAAGAGGTCGCAGGGGTCAGTGGCCAGGGCTGTGTGGCAACTGGAGATGGGTCGGAGGACAGGTCTGGCTGGAAGCCTGCCACCAACATGTGGGGAGGGAGAGCAGGTGAGTCCTCTCTGACAGTTCAGATTTGTTTTTGTAATGTTTGGGTAGGACGTCCTTTTCCCCACTGAAAGAATTTTTGGATTGGAAGATGTCATTTCCCTGTTGTAAGAATTTGTAGATTGGGAGAAGTTACAGGACGATTTTTTAAATTGGGAAATATTATTTCCCTACTCTAAGAATGTTTAGGGTGGCAGATGTTATTTCCCCTCTGTAAGAATTTTTAGGATGTGAGATACAGTATAACATGGACAGGCAGAACACAGAAGACTTGAAATGATGCAGCCATCGAACTGTGCTGCGGTCCCGTGGTTTTTTTTCTTCTTTATCTTTGTAAGAAAATTACACGAAGCTCGAACACAAACATGAATACACCCGGGGGCGATGCTACTGACTGAAGTGTCTTTAGGCCTTTCCCATGCACAGTAGAATTGTAAATGGGCTGATTCATCAATGTCATGCTCATAAATGTGCCTGAACTGCAACAGGGAACTGCTGCTTTTTCTTTCCTAATCCTTACTATCGTCATTTTTCCTCTACTTCTTTTGTATGTTTGTCACACTCTTGTGACCCGCTATTTCTGGAGTGCCTTTCAGTCAAAGCAGACTTTGTGCTGTTGAAGCTAGAGAGGTGAGCAGAGTAAGCCTGATTCCCTGTAAGAACTTCTCTGTTGACATCCACCCTTTGGCGCTCATATGACCTTTTGCAGTTTGCGAGCGCCGTAAAAGCTCTACTAAAATTTTTGGAAAAAATGGAATAGTCGAACTAATCACGCTTCCGGAAAGGTCTAAAGTCTATGTCCTTTGAGGTGCACTTGAGGCTAAAGAATTTTTATTTTTTTTATAAATAAAAAAAGGCAAAGTCGTTAGAATACCACCTTCCACCCTCCACAGAAGCAACTCACTACTAAATGTGAAAGTCGGTAGAATACCACCTTCCACCCTCCACAGAAGCAACTCACTACTAAATGTGAAAGTCGGTAGAATACCACCTTCCACCCTCCACAGAAGCAACTCACTACTAAATGTGAAAGTCGGTAGAATACCACCTTCCACCCTCCACAGAAGCAACTCACTACTAAATGTGATATTTTTAGCGCACTGCTCGACCCGCATGCCTGGGCCCTAAGCCTAGCTAGTCTTGTGGGAAGCGGGCGAGAAGAAGGGTTGTGCATCACACTCACACGGTCAGCCACCCCAGCTCTCTTTGCAAAGGACTGCACGATTGGTGGGAGAGGCAGGGTAGGGCCGCAGTTTTTTTGCCATCGTGTTGTTGATTACTGTTGCGATATGCTTATCCTATCAAATTGTTTATGTTGTGACAAATTTGAAGTGGTCACCGTTTGATTGGTGCAGACTACAGACCTTTCACACTGACCGGCGCAATTAAACTGTCTTGGTACCGGTAGGCTCATTACCAATCGATCTCAAAAACGTTGCTCATCATGTTTCTCATTCTCGATCTGTCAATTTCAAGTTCAGCCGATGCCATAACGCTGTTCTCGTATCCCTCGAACTAATGAGGCTGGTCCCGACGAATTCGGGCTCTCACTGTTATACTGTACTATTTTCCCCCCTGTAAGAATTTTTAGGATGGGAGATGTTGTTTATACCCTGTAAAAATTTTTAGAATGGGACATATTATTTCCCCCTTGTAAGGATTTTTAAGATGGAGTGGGAGATGCTATTTCTGCCTTGTAAGGATTGTTAGGATGGGAGATGTTAAAAATGTATTTCCCCCCTGTAAGAATGTTTTGGGTGGGAGATGTTATTTCTGCCTTGTAAGAATGTTTGGTGGGAGATGTTATTTCCCCCCTGTAAGAATTTTTTGGGTGGGAGATGTTATTTCTGCCCTGTAAGGGTTTTTAACCCTCTGTAAGGATTTTTAGGGTGGGACCTATGATTTCCCTCCTGTAAGGATTTTTAGGATGGGAGATGTTATTTATACCCTGTAAGAATTTTTAGAATGGGACATATTATTTCCCCCCTGTAAGGATTTTTAGGGTGGGAGTGGGAGATGTTATTTCTGCCTTGTAAGGATTTTTAGGGTGGGAGTGGGAGATGTTATTTCTGCCTTGTAAGGATTTTTAGGATGGGACATATTATTTCCCCTCTGTAAGGATTTTTAGGATGGGAGATGTTATTTCCTATCTGTAAGGATTTTTAGGATGGGAGATGTTATTTCCCATCTGTAAGAATATTTAGGATGGGAGACACCCCAAGTTAACATCTAGTCTCAGCTGGGATAGAGCAAATGGATAGACAGCCTTGAGAATAGTCACCCCTACCGAACTGATTCAAGAGCACCCTATTGGGCGCTGGAACAAGGGACATGGGCGTCCTAACTTAGGATTCCACCCTCAAAACTAACTGTGTCCTTACCATGATATCCACTGAGCTAAGGGGGGCGCCGTCTTTGTACATTTTTATTTGAAAGAAATTATAGTTTTGTTCTTTTTTACCCGAAGGGTGAGGATTTTTTTTTTTACAGTGACAGGAAGAACAGTGAGTAGAAGAAGGTGTAATAACAGGTTCAAGTGGTCGGCCACTCAGAGCGGTTCAGTTCCCTGTTTCTCGAGCGAGCGTTGGCAAAAATATGTTGGCCTGGAAAAAAACCCAGGTTCTTTTGGTGTAGAGTTTTCCAAATAGCAAAAGGATAATTGGTGCCTTCTTTTTTAATCTTTTTTTTTTTACATTTTTGAAGGAAAAAGGGGGGAAGTTTTGGCAAAAGCAAACAAAAAATAAAAGCTCAGAAAGGTTTCAGTCATATTCTCAAAGCCCTTTTGTCCTGCAGAATTTGTTTTTGTTTTTTGTTGGGGGTTTTTTTTTTCTAATTGTGAACAGGAATTGGCAAGGCTCAGAAAGGATTGTTTATCTTTTTTTTTCAGTCATTTTCTGAATGCTTTGCAATTCTGCCGAGTCCATTTGCTTTTTTTTTTTTCGGACGGGGTTTTTGTGTTTCATTTGTTTTGGGGGGTTTTTTGTGGTGTTGGTGGGGTTTTTAGGGGCTTTGGGGTACTTTTAGTGGCTTTGGGGTTTTTTTTTTGGTTTTGGGGTATTTTTAGTGGCTTTGGGGTTCTTTTTAGACCTATATTTGGGGGATTTTCTTTGTTTTCCAGTACCAGTGGGGACTCTGCTGAGCACTCGGGACTTGCGGCCGCAGGAGCTGTCCAAAGTGACGCTGGTGGGCGTGGACGCCAAGGAGAAGAGCGTCATCCACTTCCGGGCGGACCGGGACGTGTTCAAGCCTTACGAGGTGAGGGGATTGGTTGGTACAGGAGGACTGGTGTTGGTGGGGACGGGAGGATTGGTGTTGGTTAGGACTGGTGTTGGTGGGGATGGGAGGACTGGGAATGGGTGGGGACGGGAGGATTGGGAATGGGTGGGGACGGGAGGATTGGTGGGGATAGGAGGATTGGTGGGGATGGGAGGATTGGTGGTGGGGACGGGAGGATTGGGGATTGGTGGGGACGGGAGGATTGGTGGTGGGGACGGGAGGATTGGTGGTGGGGGACAGGAGGATTGGTGGTGGGGACGGGAGGATTGGTGGTGGGGACGGGAGGATTGGTGGGGACTTGGGGATTGGTGGGGACGGGAGGACGGGCATCTGTGGTGGAGTGGCTAGGTGTTTTCTCATCGCATGCAATAGACCCCGAGTTTGATTTCCGATTGGGAGAAATTTTGATCATGTACTTGTACCTCGGTCTCTCTGCAGGGATGTTTTATCCTTCTCAACCCTGGGTTGGCCGTGACAATACATAAACCAGGCCTGCCAACCATTCCACGACCGCAGTAGGAATTTGTCTCAAAATCCTCCCAAAAAATAAGAATAAGAGTTTGGAGGGATAAAACGGAAATGAAGCTTTTAAATTTTGGCCAACTCTTCTCTGCCTGATCTGGTCTCATTGGCCGTAACAAAAACCACAAGTCGTCTCTTCCTTATTTCTTTTATTTAGTTGGTAAACTATTCTCCTTTACAGACGTATTGGTCGTCATCAGACATTGCTGGACTAGCTACATGTATTATTATTATTATTATTATTATTATTATCACTATTATTATTATTATTGTTGTTGTTATTATCGTTATTATTATTATAATTATTGTTATTATCACTATTATTATTATTTAAATTTTATTATTAATGTTATTATTGTTTTTATTATTTTTATTGTTTTTAGTAGTAGTAGTATTATCACTATTATTATTATGCAATATTATTATTATTATTATTATCATCATCATTAGTAGTAGTAGTAGTTTTATTACTATTATTATTATTATTATTATTATCATCATTAGTAGTAGTAGTAGTTTTATTACTATTACTATTATTATTATTATCATCATCATTAGTAGTAGTAGTAGTATCCCTATTGTTATTATTATCACGTCATTATTAGTAGTTTTTTTTAGTAGTATCATTATTATTATTAATATTATTATTATCGTTGTTGTTGTAACTACTATTATTATTGTTGTTGCTGTTCCTCCACTTCCAGGAGTGTCCCCTGTCGTACGTGGAAAACCCGGCGGATCGTGGGGCCGGCAGCTCCCGGGTGAAGCAGGTGAGGCAGGCGAGTGGTGTGAAGTACATGAAGGCCCTGAGGGAGACGGAGGAGTACAGGCTCCTGTTTGCCAGGTGAGGACGTCGTGGGAGAAACTGGGAGGTGGTGGTTGGTTGGGGGGGGGGTGTTTGTGGCTTACTGTCAGTGTCACTTGCTATCGGTGTCACGTTCTGTCAGTGTCACTTGCTGTCAGTGTCAGTGCCGCTTGGTGTCAGTGCCACTTGCTGTAGGTCAGTGTGACTTGCTGTCAGTGTCAGTGTCACTTGATGTCAGTGTCACTTTCTATCGGTGTCACATTCTGTCAGTGTCACTTGCTGTCAGTGTCAGTGCCACTTGGTGTCAGTGCCACTTGCTGTAGGTCAGTGTGACTTGCTGTCAATGTCAGTGTCACTTGATGTCAGTGTCCCTTTCTATCAGTGTCACATTCTGTCAGTGTCACTTGATGTCAGTGTCACTTAATGTCAGTGCCACTTGGTGTCAGTGCCACTTGCTGTAGGTCAGTGTGACTTGCTGTCAGTGTCAGTGTCACATTCTGTCAGTGTCACTTGCTGTCAGTGTTGTCACTTGATGTCAGTGCCACTTGCTGTCAATGTTGTCACTTGGTGTCAGTGCCACTTGCTGTAGGTCAGTGTCACTTGCTGTCAGTGTTGTCACGTGATGTCAGTGACACTTGCTGTCCATGCCGCTGACACATACCTCGCTGTTGATGCCACTGGCGAAACTGTCATTTTACCCATAAGTTCTTTCTGGAATACAGAATACAGGGTGAGGCGAAATTATGTTAAAGCTCGAATGTATAGCAAAAAAAGTTACAGACATCATTGAACTTGAGGTACTCAGAGGGGCAGTGCCACTGACTGAAGTGTCTTTAGGCCATTTCCAAAGGGGGGACTTTTCTCAATCATGCACAGTAGAATTGTAAATAGGCTGATTCATCATGTCACGCTCACAACTGTGCCTGATCTGCAACAGGAAACTGCTGCTTTTTCTTTCCTAATCCTTACTATTGTCATTTTCCTCCACTTCTTTTGTATGTTTGTCACACTCTTGTGATCTGCTATTTTCGGGGTGCCTTGATAGGTGAAGCAGGCTTTGTTCTGTTGAAGCTAGAGAGGTGAGCTGAGTAAGTCTGATTCCCTGTAAAGATTTCTCTGTTGACACCCACCCCTTGGCGCTCATATGACCTTATGAAGTTGCGAGCGCCGTAAAACCCTCTACTAAAAATTTTTAAAAACTGAACTTGAGGATAGAATATGATATCAGGTATTTCCTGTGAGATGTGTGTCAAGGCACTACATTGTTCTGTTGGTCGGGGGTCTTTGTGCATTGATCATGTTGGTGACCAGCTCGAGACTAGTCAGTAAGTTCTGGATGTGGGTGGTTGGCAGGTGCTCTGATGTGGTTTGATTCTTCTTTCCTATCAAACATCTATCTTCCTTATCTCCCCTTCTTGTTTTTTATGTTTGTTACTCTCTTGTAACAGCTCTAATCTTCTGGCGCTCATATGACCTTATGCAGTTGCGAGCGTCGTAAAACCTTTACTAAAACAATAAAACAAAATTCTGGATAAATGATTTCTCCTATACTAGTGGTAATATGTGAGCCGCTCGTCAAAATAATGAAATCAAAAGAAACCAGCATTTTTCCGCCGGTTTGGCAATTGTTATCGAATTTTTATTTTTTAAACAACACCTTTTATATCCACTTTTATAACACAACTGGAGAAGCTATACGGGCCAACAGATTAACTGAGCGGGATGGTCCAATACATGACAAATGCCGGACTTCAAGTATGATGCAATCGAGAAGAAGTAGAAGATATTCATTTAAAAACTCATTTCTGTGTGGATTTTGCAGAAAAACGTTGATTAAAGACAAACATTTTTAATGTGTAGTTTTCAAGGACTCTAAAGCGTTGGAAATCACCTCGCTTTGGGAGTAATTTTCTCGCTAATTTTGCCTCTGAAATCAGGCGACCCCCACCGTGGGTATTTTTTTCATCAAAAGCTCGACAAATGAACATGATACTAATAACTTCACATACCTGAAAATTGACGAGGGCCTGATTCCACCGCGTCGTGACACATTTCTCCCATACTAGGGGTAATATAGTTCTGACTCGCCCTGTATTTCCAAGATGTCTTCTGTTTGTCTCCCAAATACAGACTGTGCTAAAAACATAGGTGCCAGTGTTCCTGATAAATCCTGAATTCCTGATTTCTGAAATTGTCAGGATTTTGTAACATATTCCTCTATTCATACTTATATATTTAAGTTTCATGTCATATTTCGTTTGATATAGAAATAGTCTGGATATAAGATGCGTCAGACAATGTGATCCATAAATTTTGGGTCCCTGTGCACACGCTTGCATGGGATCCAGATTTGGGGGTATTTTGTTGCCGGTTAGCACCTCCTCACTCAATCCCACGACCGAGATAACTCGGTTCTAGTTGTGTTCCGTGTACTAGTTATTTTGTTTTGGAAAACGGCCTCAAGTTTTATATAATGTAATTTTATTATTTCCCCGGCCAGTTCTGCCTAGAGGAGTGCTTGAATTTTGTTCCTACTGTCATTACACATAGAGAAATCACAGTTTTTATAAAGTCCCTTTCAGCACGATTGTTCACACTGATCAGCTGAGCATGTCTCACTACCGATTCTCTCTGCCTTTCTCACACATACTTTTATTTTTTCATAAAAGTACTCAACAATCTTTATTATACATGACATACAATATATATATATATATATATAGAGAGAGAGAGAGAGGGAGGGAGAAATCTAGACACTCACAAGTATAATATTTGAATATCGATGTAGGCTTGCTCTTGCTCATTCCACTATGAAAAAAAAGAAAAGTCAAAGCCCCAGAAATGTCAAATATTTACAATACCCCAAAACAAAATGACTACAGGTATATACTTCAAATTTGGTTTGTCTAATGTTCCGTCTTCGGTTGTACTTTCTGCCAAATTCCATAGCAATTGGGTGATATTTATAGTTACTAGTGAGCCCTTACATAAGTGCCAAATTGACCGGTTTCTAGGTACATTTTCGGGAAAGATTCCCGGGATTGAGTGAGTTAAGATAAGACACTCCAACCTGCACCCAACCCCCCTATCCCCAACCCCCTCCCACCCACGCCACCTCCCAGTTGTATCAATGGTGGTGCAAAAACACCTACATTATATATTTTTTTTTTTTTCCGATGTTTTTCCCCTCAGGTTCAAGGCGCTGTTCGTGTGGCCGGGCCTGTTGTCCACCATGCAGCCCCCGTCCATCCCACAGCCCCCGGGCCCCGGGATACGCCGGTTCACAGCTGTTGGGCTCAAGGAGAGGAGGACGTATCCCTAGTAAGACTCGCGTGTCGTTCACTTTTTCATTTGTCTTTGTCTGAACACCTACGGGACCGGCCTCACACTTGGCTTTCAGTTCCCTAGGACCGGAGCTGCCGCCGGCTGTCTGACTGTGCGAGATATGTGGTAAGGCTACCGCCAGCTGTCTGACTCTGCGAGATATGTGGTTAGGCTACTGCACTCGTAATCGTGAGGTTGCGGTTTCCGGGGTTTGAACCGTGGGCCCGAGGTTGTGTCCTTGAGAAAGGCACTTTACACGAATTTTCCCCACTTCACCCAGGTGAAAATGGGTACACAGCTATAGGCAGTGAAAGATCTTGTCAGTTTGTTAGTGTTTGAGCGCTTAACCAGCTGCTTGCACTGTATGCTTCCAAGGAAGCTGAGAATGTTTCTGAGTTTTCTATAGTCCTGTGGGGTAAAAATATAGTGTAAAGCGCTTAGAGCTTGCTTTCGAGTGGGGATATGCGCCATACAAATGCTATTTCTTCTTATTATTACTCTAATGTGGATAACTAGAGAGGTAAGCTGAGTAAGCCTGATCCCCTGTAAGGACTTCTCTGTTGACATTCACCTCTTGGCGCTCATATGACCTTTTGCAGTTGCGAGCGACGTAAAACCTCTACTAAAACTAAAAAATTTATTCCTTTGACTTAACATTTCTACCGGCGTTCCTTTAGCTAAGCTGCTGTCAATGGGTGGTTGGCGGGTACTCTGGTATGGTTTGCTCCTTCTTTCCTATCAAACATCTGTTGTCCTTACATCTCCCCTTCTTCTTTTTTTGCGTTTCTTACTCTCACTCTCATGTAACACATTTTATCTTTGGCACTCATATGACCTTATCATGTGTTAATACCATTAAACTTTTACTAAAACAAAAAGTTTGTATCAGGGAAGCCATTTTTCTGGTTTGTTTTATGGTTTTTCACGAACAGTCCAGTTTTTATAATTTATGTCTGTTTTCTGTTCAACCTCTGATTAGTTGTGTCATATAACTGTTGGCAAATAATATGCTACTTCGCAAATTTTCAGGTATATCTATCGTCCTGATCTCTCCTCCTTCTTTTTTGTGTTTGTTATTCTCTAGCTACACCTCTAATCTTCAGCACTTGTATGACCTTATTGTGTTGCAAGTGCCATAAAACTATTACTAAAACTAAAAAACGATATTCAGGTGCTTCCACTAAATCCCGAGGGGAATTCCTGAAATATTTGTTTCCATCAGTCTTTTTTAGAGTTATGAGATATAATGTAATAAAAGTGTACTGATTTTTAAGTGAGAACACACTGTACTGTTTGTGTGTTGACGTTGTATTTGCAAAGCATTCTGAGCCTGTTCTTCTACACTTTGCAGTCACTTGGCGCAATAATGCGACAGTGAAAATTATCTGTTCCGGTCACCTGGTGCCAGGCCTGAGAAGTCTGTTGCAGTTGCTCTCTTTGCTGGGTGACCAGATGGGGTAATTTTGTGTTGCTGGCTGTGTGACTGCAAAGTGTTAACTGGGGTTGAGCGCTATGTAATTGTCATATATTATTATTATTATTATTATCATTATTATCATTCTTTTCTTTACAACAAGCCTGAAACACCTTTCCCGGGTTCAGAGAAAGCATTTGAAGGGCGTGGCCGTCCTGAAGGAGAGGAGAACTCTGGGGCTGGAGGAAAAGAAGAGTAAGAAAGGAAGAAAACCGTCTGCCCCCAGTGACTCGAGGTCGAGGGAACTCCGAGGTGGAGAACAGCAGCAGCAAGAACAACAGCAACAAGAGGATAATGCTGAACCAGGGCCGTCCACCTCCCAAGAGGGGACAGGTAGGTCTACAATTGTTGGGAAAAGCAAGATGGATTTTTTTTTAAAGATACCGTGCAGTCCACTTAGCTCTCACAGTACAAAAGGTTCTTATTCATATTGTGAGGCAGCTTGGTGGAATCAGGCTCTCGTCAAAATTATCAAAGTTTTCTGCAGGTTTGTGACTTTTTATCAGTTTTTTGTTTTTTTGGCTCAACACCTTTCATGCCCATTAAAAAACTCATTTCTGTGTGGATTTTTCAAAAAAAAGGTTGATTAAAGGCACAAAAAATGTACATTTTCACTTACCACGGATTCTTAAGCTAAGGAAATAACTTATCTTTGGCGGCCATTTTCTCACTAATTTTACCTCTGAAAACAAGAGCCCCCCACCTCCTTCTTTCGCAAATATCTCGACTTGTACTCAAGATAAATGGATACTTTTTTCATCCAAATAAAGACAAGTGAACAAGCTTTAAGATACAAATGATACCAATAACTCTACATGCCCAAAAATTGACGAGAGCCTGATTCCACCACACTGCCTCACATAGGGAATAACCCTCAGGTACCGCACCAGTTGAGAACGCTGAATTTTAAAAAACCTTCACAGCCCAAGAAACATATTTTTAAAATACAGTTTAACAGATGCACTAAACTCCCTTAGTAGAAGAGAACAAGTCACGATCTTTCGCCTGCGAACACAACACATACCACTAAATTCCTACCTTAATAGGATCCGCAAGGATACCCCACCCGACTGCCCGTTGTGCGACTGCCAGGATAAAACAGTACCACACCACCTCTTTAACTGCCCAGCACTTTGCGACCTGCGTAGCACCTACCTACCTGCCTCCCCAGACATCGGAAATACTCTATACAGCTACAAAGCACAGCTGATGAAAACCTGTAAATTCTTTGCCATATCAGCAGGCCGAAGGGCTAGAACCGAAATGGCCGCTGGATCGGACAAGTAAAGTAAAGTAAAAGTTCAGTTTCTTCAACCATTCAGCTATCACTTCGAGAGACTTTCTTTGGTATATTTCCTTCAGTCCAGTGGCTCCGTTTGTGGTTTAAACCAAAATCTGGCAGATTCATGGATTTTCTTTGGTTAAGCCAGATTTTTTAAATTTTATTTAATAAGATTGCTTCAATAAAATGGAAGAAAAAAATTGGGATTTTACTTTCTTTTGGTTTACCGCTATTTTCAGAGTGACCTTGCACTATTTAAGTAGACTGTGTGTGTATTTGTTGCATCTACGAACCGCTTCTTAGCAGGTGGCTGGAGGGTATCACTGGCAGGTCCTACTTCTTTTCTTTCTTTGTGTTGTTTCTGTCTTGAACTTGCTTTTCCCCTGCACTAAATGACTGTTATTCTGCCAATATGCATCTCTGAACTCAAACTAAAAAAAACTTCTTGCTTTCAAGTTCAAGCTCATAAATTTTGAAAGAGGACAACATTAATCTTGTTTATGTTGTTTAAAGTACAGGGAATAGATTGAAAGATTGTCAGCAAACTTTTAGAAGTTCTAAGCCATGGAAGAAAAAATTTCAGGAGAGAGGAAAAACCTCTTTCATTCTTTTAAAATTTTTACCTGACACATTATGTACCTTTTATTGCTTTTTTCCACCGTTCAGAATCTGAGTGGGTGGTTGGTGGGTGCTCTGATGTGGTTTGCTCCTTCTTCCCTATCAAACGTCTGTCGTCCTTGTCTCTCCTCCTTTTTTTGTGTATGTTACTCTCTTGTAACACATAATCTATTCTTCGGCACTTATATGACCTTTTAGTGTTACAAGTGCCGTAAAAAAAACTCATATTAAAATTTCCACAAAATTATATTTATGGAGTAGACCTACATGCAACCAGTGCCAGTGTCACAGATTGAGAAAACTACCTTGTGTGTAATGTTCATTTATTGTGTGTACCTTCTCCGTGTGTAATGTTCATTTATTGTGTGTACCTTCTCCGTGTGTAATGTTCATTCATTTATTGTGTGTACCTTCTCCGTGTGTAATGTTCATTTATTGTGTGTACCTCCCTAGTGTGCAGTGTTCATTTATTGTGTGTACGTTCTCCGCGTGTAATACCGACTGAAGTGTCTTTAGGCCATTCCCAAACAGGGGGACATTTCTCGTTCATACACAGTAGAATATTAAATGGACCGGTTCATCAATGTCATGCTCATAACTGTGCCTGATCTAAAACAGGGAATCCTAATCCTTACTATTGTCCTTTTTTTCCTCTACTTCTTTTGTATGTTTGTCACACTTTTGTGACCCACTATTTCCGGGGTGCCTTGATAGTCGAAGCAGATTCTGTGCTGTTGAAGCTAGAGAGGTGAGCAGAGTAAGTCTGATTCCCTGTAAGGACTTCTCTGTTGACATCCACCCCTTGGCGCTCATATGACCTTATGCTGTTGCGAGCGCCATAAAACCTGTACTAAAACTAAAACTGAGTGTGTAATGTTCATTTATTGTGTGAACTTTCTCCGCAGAAGCTGCTAGCGCGGGGCAGAAGATGGGGAGGAAGAGAGGCGCCACCAACTTCAAACACTACATTCGCGTGGAACCATGCAGACGCAGCTCTCGGATTACCCAGAAGCAACAGACTTTGTTGGAGACCTTGACCGCTGCAGGAGAGAAGCAACAAGAGGAGGAGGAGAAGGAGAAAGAGGCAGCGGGAGAAGAGGAGAAAAGGAAGGGGAAAGAGGAGAAAAAGAAGGGAAAGGAGGAGAAAGAGAAGGGGAAAGAAGAGAAAAAGAAAGGGAAAGAGGAATCGTCGCAGCCGGGTGCGCCTCCCAAGTGGTGGAAGGAGGCCGTTCTGGCCGCGATGGTGTCGAAGAAAGCGCTGGAGGACGAGGGCGGGGCGGACAACGAGGTGCCCATCTCAGACGATGCCGATTTCCAGGACAAGGGGAACTACTCCGACGATGACTAGAGTGAGGAACTGAGTTTGCTGGGTTTATCGAAGAGATAAACCTCTTGAGAGTGCAAGAACAGGGAGGAGGGCGGGAAATCTGCCTTGGCTCTCTTTGTGATTTGTCGGGGGCGTACTGATTACTTGATCCTGGGAACAACATCATAGCACTTCGGACATTGCCGTACGTGCTCCGCTCCCCACTCCAATATCCACCTCAGAGTCCATCAGCTGATCGTTTCGGTGTTCATTTGGTTAATAACCTGTCCTGAAGAGCCTCTGTATACTTCCACCCACCAGGGCAGTGCTACTGACTGAAGCTGTCTTTGGGCTATTCCTAAAGGGGGGGATATTAATATGTTCTTATGCACAGTAGAATTGTAGATGGGCTGATTTATCAATGTCATGCTTATACTGTACCGGTACAACATAGGAGGAACTGTTGCTTTTTCTTTCCTCATCTTTGCTATTGTCATTTTTCCTCTGCTTCATTTGTATGTTTGCCACTCTCTTGAGAACTGCTATTTCCGGGGTGCCTTGATAGTCGAAGCAGACTTTGTGCTGTTGAAGCTAGAGAGGTGAGCAGAGTAAGCCTGATGCCGCGTTTGGACTTCTCTGTTGACGTCCACCCCCTGGTGCTCATTTGACCTTAGCAGTTGCGAGCACTGTAAAACCGTACTAAAAAACTATAATTTTAAAAAACCTCTGTATACGGTTCCCTTGTCTCATCTGAAAATGTTTGTTTTGGTTTGGGTCGATTATTAGTTTGGGTTCATGGAAAACTTTTCTGTGATGTCTGACTTTCAAAATTTCAACTATCAGCCATGAGCAGGTGGTGGGTGCTGTGGTATGGTTTGCTCCTTCTTTCCTATCAAACATTTATCATCCTTTGCTCCCCTTCTTCGTTTTTGCGTTTGTTACTCTCTTGAAACATTTCTAACCTTTGGCACTTATATGTCCTTATTGTGTTGCAAGTGCCATAAAACTCGTACTAAAACTAAATTTTCGACCCGCAGTAAATGATTTGCTTCCAAGAAAGCAAAAGCAGACAGTTGAGACATGGAGAAATTCATTCGCAACAACAGCAGTGGGGATACTAAGCACACAGCACTGCAAATACAAACAGAGAGAGAGGCAGTGAGAATATTTATGGGCTGGTACAGCACTCAATATTATATTTCTTGTTGTGTGTATGCATGAGTACACCTGACCTTTGTAATACCGCTACAATTGTTAACGAACCAAGACAAATTTCTCCCTGCAACTGCAAGATGAATAAAGTTGCTGCCCTCAACATTACAACAATTGCTATGACATACAGTATACCGCATGTTCTAAATAACATTTCCTTCATCAGGTAGATGAGGTTATTTTTGTGTGTGTTCCAGAAATTTAGTAGAAAATGAATATTTTATTTTGTTGCCCTTGTGATAAGACCAGCAAATCTCAGTACATGTAGAGTGAAGTTTTATAGAAGCAGCAAAACTTATCTGGTTTCATCTCACAGCAACAAAGCAGTATAGGAGGGAGGGTTGTCTGGCGTTATTTCTAACATTTTGGGAGCATTTGTAGTCAAAACTCAGACCTGTCTAAGACTGATCATAAGAAGTGGATATAATTTACTGTCATTCATCAGTTTTATTGGGTTCTTTTGTTATGTTTTTTGGGTTGGCCTGCTTATCACAAGGGCGACAATATGCCCTGATTAAAATTAAGATACCGAATTAATCTCAACAGTTGTGGGATTAAGTTCATTTTCAGGAATTCTGGTGTAGTAGTAGTAGGCTGTACTGTTCATCCTCAAGTACTAGTGAAGATGCTGTCTGTGTCAGTCTACGCGCTAGTCCTAATCGGTCGTGTGGTTGCAAAACTTGCAGTCAAACTTACCCCAATTTCATGCGGCCTATTGGATTCATCAGGTTGAGCCGAAGCCAGCCAGATTTTCCTCCATGGATGGGGTAAAAGCTTAAAAGCTACCATTTTGGCACAATACTACTACCAAACTCGACTAACTTCAACTGTGACCTTAAAAATCCAATGTGTTTGTTATTCAAAGTTGGGAACTGAATTGGTTATATTGTGCCAAAATGGTAGCTTTTGCCTCATCCATGAAGTAAAACCTGACTGGCCTCGACTCCGTCCGATGGTTCCAACTAGCAATGTGTACGCTGGGTGCATTAGGAATTATTTTTTTTATTTTCTGGTATGAAAATCAGTGTCTGTGTTACTGTGGTGCTCAAGTAATTGGTGAAGCAACGTGGTGAAATCAGGCGCTTGTCAAAATAATGAAATCTGAAGAAAAAGGACTGTATTTTCCACCAGTTTGGCAATTTTTGTCGAAATTTTGTTTTTTGGCTAAACACCTGTTTTGTTCTTATGAAAACACATTTCCATATAAATTTAACTGAAAACCCTTCTTTAAAGGCACAAAATATGTAAATTTTCAGTTTTTAAGGACTTTTAAGCTATTGAAGTTACCAAACTTTGGTGGCTATTTTCTCATTTATTTAACCACTGAAACCAGACTACCCCCACCTTCTTTAATCGCAAATATCTCGACTTCTATTCAAGCTAGATGGATATTAATTTCACAGAAAGCAAGGCAAATGAATAAGCTTTCAGATGATATGAAAAACTCCACATGCCCAAAAAATGACGAGCGCCTGATTCCACCGCGTCATGACACATTTGTCATCATGACTCATCCTATCAGTTGCAGCAACAAAACAGTTTACATTTTGTACCTTGCAAGTAGTTCTGTCAGTCTAATCTAGTTATTTACTGTTCATAATCTTGTTGTTTGAAAACTCTTTCAATCTACTTTATTTTCTGTTTTGGTTTTTAATGTTGTTGTTTGAAAACTTTCATTCAAGTTATTTTCTGTTCTTTAATCTTGTTGTTTGACAACTCTTTCAGGAAGTTTTGTCAGTCTAGTTAATTTCTAGTTAATTTCTGTTCATAATCTTGTTATTTGAAAACTTATTCTATTGTGTTCGTCAAAGTCGAATAAAAGGCAAGTGTGACGAATAATAACTGCTGTGATTATCAGTTTTTCATATAATTTATACTTACGTCATGGGGGTATAAAAAATTAAAGATTTTTTGTCAAATTATGGAACCCGAGTTATTTATTGCTGAGCCTAAAACTAGAAAAATTTGGAGAAGGTGTATTGTAGCCCCCACCTTAAAAGAATGAACTGTTTTATCGAGTATCTGGATCTTTCTGCGGGGACGCTGCGTCCCCCACCCACACCTGGTGGGTCTTGGCAGGTAGGGGTATAGCAGCCCACCTCCTAAATTATCCAAATGGTGCCAGTGGAGAGATGTATCATGGGGTGATAGAAGAGTAGTAGAGAGATGTATCATGGAGTGATAGAAGAGTAGTGGAGAGATGTATCATGGAGTGATAGAAGAGTAGTAGAGAGATGTATCATGGAGTGATAGAAGAGTAGTGGAGAGATGTATCATGGAGTAGTAGAGAGATGTATCATGGAGTAGTAGAGAGATGTATCATGGAGTAGTAGAGAGATGTATCATGGAGTAAGTAGTAGAGAGATGTATCATGGAGTAGTAGTAGAGAGATGTATCATGGAGTAGTAGTAGAGAGATGTATCATGGAGTAGTAGAGAGATGTATCATGGA